CAAAAAGTATGGCCCTGGCTGGAAGACTTGCTTTCGGGTTTTGGGTGTATTGAGCAATGGGGTATAGAGCTTTGGGGCTTTGGGGGATAACATCGCGCTCATGTTCCATGAAAGAATTCCAAGCTTCTCATCACAATAACGGCAATATTGCATATTGATCTTACCAAAAACAAAAATGACGTTGATGTTCGCAAAACGAATAATAACAACAATGATGCAGTGATAATCATGATAGATGTGATTCTAACGACAATGATATGCTGTCATAAGCTCGGAGAGGATCGACTCGATAGATTTCCAGTCTTGCGCAGGAGAAGGCTACGGCTTGCCTGCCGATCCCTCCTGCGCCCCAGAGACTCCAGCAGCCCAAAGTCAAGTTTGGGAGTCAGGGTTTAGGGGTCTGCGGTTTATGGGTTTGGGGTTTAGGGTTCAGTGACTTCGGATTCAAGGCTCTTCTTCTTGAGACACTCCGACTTAGGACTTAGGAAACCTATGCCACTCAAAAGGGCTACACCCTAAACTTCGTCTGTAGAGTCAAGTGCGTTGGGGTCCCTGGACCATCAGGGTCTGATCTTTTCTGAGGCACGTCGTGTGCCGAAAAGAGATGAATGAATTGCTCATGGCGAGGTCGGGAAGAAAGTCGGGCATGAACCGTCCATGCGCGAACGAGAGCTCGTAGAGGATTTTGTTTAAAGGGTTTAGAGTTTAGGGGCCGTAAACGCAAGAACAGGAGCTCCTAGAGTGTGGGTTTAGGGTTCTAAGGCTCTTGGGGTTTGGGCCCCGGCTGAGGGTGGAGAAAAGAGCTCCTGCTTCCCGAAGAGCCGCTCGAATGATGTTCCTTATAGAACGGCTACATCTCTAAGCAATTTTACACTCGCACGGATAACGCCGAAACCAGCTGTTGCTTCAGCTTGGCAAAGACTTTGGGGTCCCAGTAGGGATCGGATGCAACATGCTCCAAGCCTGCTTCCTAGAGTCCTAGAGCCCTCAACCATCAAGCCTCAGCCCGTTTTGGCCCTGGACCTCGACAGTGAGTGTACGACCTTGCCGCCCAGAAAAGGCAGGAGCATATGGCGGAGGCAAGGCGCTGGAAGCCGAGTCTTTTCAGGGTTTTGCTTGGAAGCCAGTTGTGGATTGCAAGCGTTGCTCCACCTTTTTATTATACTACTATACTACCCCGGAAACCAAAAACTCAAAACGAAACAAGCAGAAGTTTGAATCTCAACACCCGACAGCCCCGCACCGTCCCAACGCAGCTCCAAGTTCCCTATGGATATCCAGAGATCCTCCGAAGCAGCCGTAAAGATGCGGTCGAAGCATAACTACGGTGCGCCCCATTCAGAGCCCCTGAAGTTTGCTGGCTATGACTTCATGCTTGCCTCCGGTATAATATGATGAGCACGGGGCCCCTTAGAGCCCAGGATACGAGGCATGTCTCGACTCGGTCGCTCGGACGTCAATCAGGCTACAGGTTGTTTGCTTTCTTTTGGGGGCCTGTTTACCTTACCCTTTCCAGCGTCAGGTAAGGGCTTGGGTTTTTGGGTTTAGGGCCAGGAGCCACAGCAGATGTCTGGAATCTTGTTCCATTGCAGCCTACAAGACCGGGTATTGAGGGATCTGCACAGACGCAGTTGCTATGGTGCTGCAATGTAGGTAAAAGGGACCTAGTCTCAACCAAGAAACCGTCGAGTGCCAGGACCAAGAAGAGATGGTCATAACAACCGTCCCAAACACTATAACCGAAACCTTGCACCATCAACCCTCAAGCCCACCACTTGGCTTCGGCGCATTCGCTTCCGGGTTTAGTACAAGATTTCGGGAAGACCTGATGCTTCGTGGTTGGAAAGACAAAATCGAAATCGAGGGCAAGTTAACATTCAATTCAAGGCCCCGGATCTCTCAACAGGGGTGCCTGAATTAGAATGAACTAAGATAGGGCTTGTGGTGCTGTATTGCTGTATTATACAAGACTTTATACAATAACTATATAATACGGAACCGTGGGTCAGTAGTCCATTGTTGATTTAGGCTCCTATATCACATCGCTGTGGTGCTCATGGATCGTTCTCCCCAAGAGGGGCGGCGGGGAGTTCGAGACAAGCGCACGCGTCCGGCACGGCCGCCTCTGAAGCAGCTCTAAGAGAATTCTAGTCTATACCCCGGCATGATTAAAATGTGCTTTTGAGAATCAGGGATCGAACCACGGAAATATCATACTTATGTACGCGCTTAGGATAAGGGCAGAGGGTTTCAGGTTTTGCGGCTCGGTGCCAAACCTACAAACTTCACCATACATGGCATGGAAGCCCTCAACCCTACAAGAACAATCGACAGCAATAAGTTTAGGTAAGGCACCTCAAAGGTGGACGCTCTGTTCCGAAGTACTGCTGGATTCACAAGACGTACGGAGCTGCTTTCTCTTGCTGAGTACGGATATGTACAGATGGGACATTTACCGGAACTCCAAACCTCAAACCCTCCATCATTAAAAAACATATCAGATTCAGTTTTCTATCGTATAGCAAAGTACAGTCTTATTTATGAGTAGATATATACAAGTATAAGTGTGTATGTGTGTATAGATGTACATAGGTACATGTAGATGGACAGGGACTATCACGGACTAGCCCTACTAGTTCGTATGATCCCCACTGTGCTGCTTGAATGACGCCCTCGGCTCACTTTCGGATCTCCCCTTTCTCCACAAACCTGGGCAAGGATTCGATCTCGGGTTTGGGTTCAGGGTTTAGGGTTTAGGGTTTCGGGTTTAGGGTTTCGGCAAGGATTCGATGTCGGGTTTGGGGTTTCAGGCTGGAGGATTCCTCAAAGAATTAGCGTTTCTGGGACTTATTGAAGTCCTGCATTAAAACGGTGGAAACTCCAAACCCTAAAGTAGCACTACTGCGCGTAAGCTTCAAAGTAGCTTTTGTAAGTGTAGCCCATCTAGTACCCCATAATCATACGATGGTACTATGTAATGCTTGTGCGAGTAACGTAGCCTCTGTAATTTGTACTTCCCTTCTCGAAGACTCTAAACCGTTTGTAATTTGTAGTACCCTACTCGAACCCCACAAACCCTAAACCCTAAACCCTAAACCCCTAAACCCCTAACAGCCAGATGCTCGCGCGGAGGAACGCTCCCAGCTTCGGGAGGACGTAGTCGGGTTTGCGAGCAGGCTGGCCGCTTCTCAGCTCCTTCTTTTAGGCTTTGGGTGCTGGGTTCCCTTATAAGGGTTCCTTCTAGGGGACACTCTACGGGATAAGTTAAGGGTTTAGGGTTTAGGGTGGGTTCCTTCTAGGGGACAGGTGTAGTGTAGGCCATACTTATAGTAAGGAACCCCCAGAAAAAGCAGGCCCCTATACTAGGTTCTCTGGGTTGTAGGTTTGGGGCCCTGATAAAATGTAGTTATGAATAGGTACCTCTATAGTATAGGAACCATGAGGGAAATGTTGAAGCTTTCCCAGAGTGCCGTGTCATCAGGGGCTCTTTGGGGCTTAGGATTTCTAGGTTTTGCATTGCTGTGCGTGGTGTTGTTGTTGTTGTTGTTGTGGGAAGGGTTAGAGCTTGTTCAGGTGAAGCTCCGTACATATGGTGGCCTGTTTCAATGTTGTCTGCAGCGGCTGGTTGCGTGTATCAGAACTGATTGCGCGAGCTGTGCTGGTCATCATTGAGGTTGTAAGATCTGATTGTGTTTGTTTCCCTTTCAGGTTTGGGCGGTTCGGGTGTGGGTCCAGGTGGTTCACGTTTCATGCGACGCCTCGTTACCTATAAACATCTGTAACCCAGGAACCTACTTCACGGCTTGCGGGGCTGCTTTAAAAGTTTCTGACACTCATTCCAAACACAAGCAGTGCTGCCTTGCAAACAACCCAGAGCCTGCTAGAAATGCAACCCTCGCCCGACACACGCCTCGTCTCCCGGTCCTACATCCTAAACGCTCAAAACCCCCCAACCCGGGACTCCGATTTAGCCCTCAACCCTCAACCCTCAACCCCTCAAGCCTGAACCTAGACTTAGTGGGTACTATATCTATCGTACGTCGTATAGAGTATCTCATAGGATTGCAATCCTCCTCGAGCTCTTCCTTGGAGGTCACGCCGGTGAGGACAAGAAGGGTCCTTGCCAGCAGGAGACCCTGAAACCTCCTGCTTCAGGGTTGAGGGCCTTTTGGGGCTGAGGGCTTTAAAGGCTTCAGGATACAGGATCGTTGAGTCGAGGGCCTTTTAGGGTTTAGGGCTCAAAGGCTTCAAATATGGATCCTGGGACCTGGCAACTGGGTTATAAGATACTGTGGTATCGACATGGATGGAGCCCTGATGCAGGTGCCAGGTAAATTTGATCCATGAACTGCTGCTTTAAACGATATATGCACCACAAATACCACTGCGTTAAGGAGGGTTTGCGGCTTCAGGTAGGATTCAGGGTCTCGACCCTATACCCGGAACATAGGCCACAATTAATTCCGGCAGCCTTTCTGAACCACGAAAAGGCGCATACCAACCCTGCAATATCTATATGAAATCCCTGAGAAACACTGAGGGATGCTTAAGCGGTCGAAATCATATGTTTGCGGACGATATAGCCGTAGCATAGACCCCCAAACAGTGTGGAGCATCACGACGACCTTGACAACCACAACGGATACAAACGTCCACGACTAATTGCCACGAGCACCACGACCACGAACACCACCAACACAAACACGACCACTACGACTACGAGCGGTCCGCCGGGACACGACGAAATCGGCAAGAGACCACGAAGAGACCACCAGGAAACCAGCGTGAAGTGTGAGACCACTTGAACCCCCCCGTGTACTGGGCCAAGGAGTCCAAGTGTGCACGGGAAACCGCGCAGACCTTATACACAAGCCCCAAACACAAAACTCCTGCCCTACCAAGTGCTTAACCCTCAACCCCCCCCCCCCCCCCAAAACACCCGAAACTACAGCCGCACACCCCCAACCCTGTAAGCCCAAACCGTAGTGCAGCCAAGCAGCTTCATCCCGCCAAGGTTTCCAAAAACGATGTCCGTCTGCAGCGTATCTCCCACCTTTCGGATGCTCATATGAAATCAAGGGGTGCATCAAACGTAGTTTGCAAGGGTGTTTTGGGCTACTGTCTTCTTGGGTTCCATTCGTGTGGTATGCGGTTTCTTGCAGAGTAGGGGTCGGGGATTTGGGGATCGATGTAGGGTTGGCCGGGTGACGTTTGGGAGTCTCGGATTTAGGGGCCTAGCCTAGAGTCTAGAGGGGTGTAGAGCTAGAGTTGCCGGGATAAGGATTTATAGTACTTGAGTCGAAGGTACTTTGCGAAACGCCCGGGCTCAAACCTGAAACATTGCCAAAATGGCAGGACACCAATGTCATGAATCGCCCGGAAAGGTGCAGCTAGGTACGCTCCATAATCGCTCGATTGCATGATCGGCTCTCGAGCGGCTTCCAAAGGCTGCGAATTCCTGCGACGGATGCGAATTTGCGACCCCAAACCCGACGATAATGCTAGCAAGCTGCTCCTCAAGCATAGGCATCACTGCATCACTACAACAACCCAAGATGCAGCCCACCGTTCTCAAGGGCTTGTGTGCTGTCTTACTCGGGCTTGGAGTATTAAACATGTAGGGATCTGAACAATCAGAGCACGGATTCGGGGTATATACTTTAGTACAGTTCTACAAGAGCAACAAAGCGATAATTACCATTCTTGGATACCCCCTATATTTGGGCTGTGACGCTGCACTTACTTGCACAATTTCCTAGGGCAACGAACGGCTGACCTTTGAAACTTGGGATGATGAAACAAGGATCATCGTACCCCGAAAAAGGTTCAAGCGCGATGTGAGATAAGCTGCGTCGCTGGCTGGGGCACCTACTAGCTCTATTGCCGAATCGTTTATTTACCTACCTGTCCAGTATTCTAGGGGAAATAAAGGTTAACCTTTGGGATTCCCAACAAGGTTAAAATTTACCTACTCTACTACCAAAATTAGGGCTTTAGAGGCTTTGGGGCCTGATGTAGGAGTTGCGGTACCAGTACTCCGGATGCGTTAAACACAGACCCCCCGAAGCCCTTGCCTTACCGCGACACCCTAGTTCGAATGAAAGCAAACCTTGGCTCCCTCTCTACGCGTACCTAGAGACTCCCCGGGATGTGTTCATTTGGGGACACCATGTTTTGACGACATTTCTCTGATCCGGAATCCTAGAAGGTAAGGGGATCTGAAGGTCAGAAGCCAGGAGAATCTGACTCGGGTGCGGAGCCGCTCCTTGCCTACGAAACATTGCAATTTATGCAGCAATCCCCAAACATGTTAAGCCATGTCGCAAAATGCGTGGAGTAGTGACCCTGCATTTCGAAAGCAGCAGTATGGAAGTCCGAGGCATTGGTACCAAACCTCATCACTATAGCCCCTACATAGCTGTGATTTCATATAATTACCCTTACACCCGACAACCTGTTCCTCGCAAGCCCTATTTGAAGCCGCATCCTGCTCTAACCATCGAAGCTTTGCTCACCTTCACCCTAAACCCTAAATCCTAAGCCCTACGTTGCTCTGAGCTGGGTGCCATCAGAGCTTTGTTCACATTCACGTTGTAGGCCGTGGGGCTTTGAAGCAAGCGGATCAGGGCCTGCTCTTTCGACTCTCACACTCGCACAAGGCCGGCAAGGCTCCGCATAGAACCCTCTTTAGGGTTTTGGCCTTTGGGGGTTTAGGGGTTTAGGGTTGTTTTGCCTCCTGCATGGCTAGGCGAGTCGCGAAGCAGGGTTAAGACTAGATCCGAGTAAACTCAGGCAACTCTATGTTTAGGGTTTTGGGGTTTAGGGTTTTGGGGTTTAGTGCTTAGGGAATTAGGGGTTTGGGGGTTTAGGGTCTGTCTAGAGTTTTGGCTTTAGGTCCCAGCAATCAAGTTGCCCATATAGTGGGCTCCTGTTCCTTGAACCTGGTATAAGCCCCGACTGCTTACAGGTCATTGTTTCCAAGGGTCGGGACGAAGGCTGAAAGCAAATGTCGCGTGATGACAAGTTTGGAAAGGATTGTGCCGCCTCGTTCAGGGCTTACGTTTTCGGCTACTAGGCCGCCGAAGTTAGGCCCCATCCTCCCCCTATCAGAATCAAAACCATCTGTCCGCGATGGGCGAAATCCTGCTGTACATTCTGAACTTTGGAGTTTTCCTTGTTTAGAAAATGCAAGGCTGCGTCCGTCAATCGCAAGGTCTGGTCTGTCCCCACTAAGCTTTGACAGCCCATATCCTCAGCCTGAAACCTGATCGATTGATGCCCATCTACTCGAAAAAACAATCCTAAACCCGAAGACTAACACCCTGGCCCGAACGTTCAACGCAGTCTCCAACAAATGCATGCCCTCCCCGGGCTTTGCCATCGGAGTGAACAAATGCCTTAGATCTGCCGCAATAACCTGCACCTGCGTGAAGTGAACTATCGAAGATGGGGCCACATCCGAAATCATACCAATGCTGTATCTCACCGCAAAGTCCTCAATCCGAAACCATAACCCCGAGCCCTCGTCGTCTTACCTCTCAAGGGAAATAGCAAGCCTTACGGGCCCTGTAGAAGTTACCCACACCGATTTACTGCTCCGTCAACCTGTTATATAACCTATATATACATACATATATATATATATACACGTAGATATATATATATATGTACACATATATATGTATATATGTACATATATATATATATATAGGTACATATATATATATATATATACATATACATATATATATATATACACACACACCAGAGACAACATCTGACAAGGTAGCCCCCTGTCCTCGAAAGTCGGCCGAGTCCCAGCCCTTCA